AGTTAAATGTGAAATAAATGGAATTGGTGAATCAAGGCAAAGAAAATGAAATAATTGTTGTGGTGAGACTTTGTGGTGTTTTACTTTTTAGTTTCTGTGAAGACCTGGCTAATGTGGTGCTAGGAATGCTTATCATTTGAGAAGAGAGATTGACACTAGAGTGATAGGAGCTCATGAGCTAAAATATAGGTCTGTGTTCTTGTAGGAAGAATTCATGCATGTTGTATCTAATCGTCATTAAGAGCTCACTAACCACAATAGTTGCTTTACCTCTATGCGTTAATTTCAATAGCAGTTCAGTATCATTGTGAAGCCTTTGCTTAACTTGCTGAACAATTTTTTTGCATTTGAAGTTACACATGCTGTGATTTTTAAATTACATTGTTTACAATTTTTGCTATTTGAAATTTTTATCTACTTTTCTGGATGTGTCAGAAAATGTACAGAAGGAAGTTAGTAAGTAATGAATGGTTTATTTGCACAATCAGTGCAAATGTAAATTCTCCATTCTTCATCTCATAATTTAAGCAGATGTGAAACATTCTCTTAAAAGTTTTATGGGTTTTTTTTAAATTGTTGCTTTAGTAGTGATGTGCTTTTGCTATTTTTGCAGCATCAAAATCATTCTCTGTTTGTCATGCTCCATTTGGTTGCAGTGGAGATGACTGTCAGAGAAATACAATTTTCCAGGAAGCACTAATTGAAATGATGTTTTTATATTCAGCATGCAGTAACTGACAGATGTAGATAAGGAACAGAGAAAATTCATTAAGTGGCATTTCTCCAGTTTTTTAATCTTTTTTCCCCTCCAGAAAAGCAACAATGCTGGATGAAATCAGAAATGCATTTAATGTACTGCACAACATTGTAGAACATTTTTTCTATGCAATCACTTTCATCCTCCCACCGATTTCAAACAAATTTTGGGCAAACTTTTTGGAAACTGAAACCTTAAGAGATTATTCAAGCATGAGTAATTAATTTTTGCAATATTTCCTAAACCTGTGTATACTATTTGTATATAAATTTAACCCAAATCTGCATAATCATTCTAAAACACTTGGGTCAAGAAAAGAAGTATTGCACAGCTTTGACATAGAAAAGCACTTAAAAAAGATAAAATATTCATACTTGTGTGGACAAATGAACATAAACCCAGCCAGTCTGTGGCTTATTGTCACACAGAATATAAGACGGACGGCTGCTTCTTTTGCCAGTAACATATGAAGTCTGACGTCATATTGAACTGCTATTTCCATTAATTTTTTTGTCTCCGCTTGTTCTTTTTCACTTCCTTAGTTGTTTTATATCTTCATATAGAAACGATATTTCAGATTACTTTCATTTGCAATGCTCTTTCATTATTGTCACAGGACTCAATACTTAAGGGAGAAGCAAGAAATAAAAAAAAATATTCAGGAACAGTAATTAAGTCAGTATGTGTAATATGAAAAAAACATAGCAGCAGGAAAGCCGTCTCCTGGTTAAAAGTACTGGTGAGGACAGATGTCCACTTTCCGATCTTGCTGTGCTAATTGACATTTTTACCATCTGTACTGCCTGTCAGTGCGCACTAGCTGGGAAGCAGCATCCCGCAGATCTGCCAGTGCGACAGAAAGTGCGCGTGACCTCTAATCCTCTTCAAGCGACTAAGTTAGGCTTGCTCAAAACACCTTTAGGACTATTTAAAATGATGTTTCTGAATAAAGCAGATTATTTGAAAAAGATAAGACGTACCCTCCTTATACCTTCTGCTGGCAATAGTATGGAGAATTTATGGAAGCTTTTGCAAAATAAACATCTTACATTGCCTCAGATTCTCAATCACATGTCCCTTAGCTGTATCTCTTTGTACAACTTTGGCTTCTCTGTGTATTTTATTGTCCTTTTCTGACCTTATCTCTACAGTAGTGCTTAGGACTGTTATGATGTGATTTCATCAATTGGTCTGTAGAATTCTTCATTCTCTCCTTTCATTTCTCTCTCTCTCTCAATATAGGAGTTTGTTAGTTTTTGGCATTCAGTGTGAGAAAAAAACCCTAAAATTTTGCTGAATGGGTTTTTCTGAGTGATGGCCAGATTTCAGGAGAAGGGAAACCTTTTGGTTTGAATTGAACATTGAATTTAATTTTCCAGTATTTCTAAATGATTTACAAGAAAATAAATCTCACATTTAAAGATGAATATGCTCTTTTTTTTAGGTGAGACTGACTTGGTGAGTAATTTCACCAAGACATAGACTTACAGAAAAGAACAAAATCACACACATGATTTACCCTTGTCTATTTATGGGTCTTAAGGAAGATAATATTTATTATGAAAAATTAAAGAGTACAGTTAAATAAAATTTATGTCTAAATTCCAATGTAGGTTACTTAGACTATAGTCTTGGAGATAATGGTGACCATAGATACTTTAAGCTCAGTCTAGTCCTCAACCTTATGGTGTCTAAATTTCTATGGTGTCTATATTTCTGTGGTGTCTAAACAAACAATTTTTGTCTTGGAGAAAAAGCAGCTCTTTGAGTCCCAATTTCTCTCTTTTGCTTTGGGGGCTTCTCAGCATGTATGTTTATTTATATATGCGTTATGATCAGTAACATAGGGCAGGATATGTATACTTTTTATGGCCTCCTGACAGTAAAGTATATAGCATAATTTCAAAGGTGTGAAGTCGTCATGTCTAGGTAAATATAATTAGGATTGTTGAAAAATACTGCAGCTATTTCCTGTACTATTTCAGCCACCCCTTTCATGCTGTTGAGTATCCAGTCATCTATCTACATGCTGGAGCTGGCCCACTACTGTGCACATACGTTCTGTATTGGAAAAATGGCATTTTTCAGACATGTCTTCCTTCCACTTTCCAACGTGCTTTTGAGTATTTTCTGTTTCAGAGTTTTGTATTGCTGCTTGCAGGTGTATTAAATGAACATTTCTGTCCCAAATCCCTTCCACTATCAATGCTGTCCATGTACTTTCCTCTTTATGTATAAAGTCACCGCTATATTTGCGGTAGGTTGTGTTTTGGTGGCCTAGTGCAAATTGTGCATGCCATTTTTAGTGAAAATTCTTCCTTGTACTGAAGGGCTTTGCAGCCCTCTGAAAGCTAATCAAACTGCGTGTGTTTGGTCTCTGCTAAAGGTGTGTCCCAACGCCAGATCCCATCTGTGTTGGGTGACTCCCCTGAGCTCTCATGTGTGTTGTCCTAACTTCTGTGGTCTGCGTTGGCTCACAAAAGGGCAACTCTCCAAATGGCTCGTAGCCCGCAATTCCAATTTCATAGGGGAAAGTGTTTGCCCTACGTTGGAAGCTGAGTGGGAGCTCATGGAGGAGCAGAGAGGTTTGACACGTTATTGTTTGAATCACAGAGAATAACGTAGACACACTTTGTAATAGCTGGAACCTGTCTGTTTCAGTGTCGTTAAGCACTAGGTACTGAAAATTAAATTAAGTGAGGTAATAACTACAGCATGCCTTTATCTGGGAGAGAAGGATAGTATTTCTTAGAAGCTGAAGGTGAAATGAAAATTTGATGAGTTAACCAAGAGCCAGAAGCTACACAACAGCTGTAATTATATACCTTAAGTGAAAGGTGAGTTGACATCTTTGCCTGTACTGTGGCAAGATTGATATGTTCAGAGCAGCATCGCTTTCATCTTGAGGAAATTACACTTGGGCCTGGTGCTTTCATCCAAGAGGGGACTTACTGGCACATGCTGGTGGAACAGTTGCACCAGTCCCGAATGAACGAGGCATAAAGCTGAGTACCGGTAGCGCATTAGGGTCCCGATTTGTTTTGTTTGACGTCTTGAAGGTGCTATTAATAGGGCTTTCCGTTCCTGAAGTACCCCACAGGTGTTGATATGCTTTTGGGGAGGCGAGGACCTACCCTAAAGTGCGTGAGGAGAGGAATCCTTGCAGTGTGGGATTAATCGTTTCCTCTTGCTCTCTTGCAGACGCCTTTGTATTCCTCCGAGGTCAACTCTCAGTTGAAGTATCTTCATTGTGTCATGTTAGGGTGAATAAGCATGAATAACTTTACGTTGCTGATCACATTCAAAACCTACAGTTTTGTAAATGTTCCAACTGATATCGAATATTATTTGGCAGATATAAGTAACCACTTATTGCAGTTCTTTATGCTGCTGAGAGCAGTATATGGGCACAGTTATTCTACCTGAACTCTTGCAAGTCCCCCCCGCCCTTTTTTTTTCCCCTGAAAAGGCACTAGACGTGCATACTTTAAGATAAGTAAAAAATAGGGTAAAAAGCACAGAAGTGGGTTGTTCAACACAACCAACACATTCTTACACTTAAATTTAAATGGTCTTAAGTTGAAGTATTGTGCAAAATACATGCATTTTTATATGGATTTAAGGAAGTATATAATTTCCTTTTTACTTTCTTTGCATTTATAACCTGTCACTTTGGCTGTCTTTTTTCACTTAACAAAAATTTCATGCAGTTCATTCCAGAGACTGTGTGACAGTATGTATGCAGCAAGAGAGGTTGCTCTGAAGTAGAACAAGACATGCTTTATTGATTTATACTTTGAGGTCATCGACCTGAGGTCAGAACAAAGAACTGTATGCTGCCTCTATGATGTTGCCAATGCTGCCAACAGCTATTCCAACTTGATCCCAAATATAATTTATTTGTGCTTTATGATCTATTTTCAGAAGTCATTGCTTACATGTATGTATGTATGTATATACATAGGTCTTATTAAAGTAAACCTACTAATTCAAAGACTTTTTCATGATTAAGACTTGCAGGAATTGGTACTAAGTTGAGTCCATAACCATTCTGTTCAGAACGTAAGGACAAATCATCTTGCAAAAGCAAAATTTAAGTGGAATATCTGCCTATTTGTTAATATGCCAGAGGTGGTACAGCTTGTAGTTGTTCTTGGAGAAATAATCTATAGGAATGCAGATATAAGTGGGCATTTTCTATTTTACTGCAATTTTAATTTATTTTATTTTATTTTATTTACAGGATTAGCTGGCACTGCTGCAGACCTAGAAAAAAGAAAGCTTATTTTTGGAAAAAATTTTATACCTCCAAAGAAGCCAAAAACATTCTTACAGCTAGTCTGGGAAGCATTGCAGGATGTGACTCTTATAATCTTGGAAATTGCAGCCATCATATCTTTGGGGCTTTCGTTTTATCAGCCACCTGGAGAAGGGAATGAAGGTAAAAACTTTTATAGAAGTCATTCGTATAAGTTTAAGTAAAACCAGTCCTATATCTCAAATTAATTCCAGCCCCACCCTCCAGAAGGTCACTAACAGGAAATTTCCATGTGGGTTGTTCCTATTACCATTACATCTGGTACTGACATTTTTTGTATGCTTGACATCTCGTTATGCAAGTAGCTGAACCTTGTGACATGTGCTAAATGAGTTAAAAATCATAATATTCTTCTAAAACTGGAGTATTTTTGTTTCTGTTTTCACCTTTAAGCTTGTGTTAGGTGTTTGTTTACCACATTATAGAGGAGAAATATGTAATTGCTTATATAACAGATATCTCCTATCTACACAAACATGGACAAGTCTTCAGCTAGTTTATATCAACTGAAGACTTGAACTTAGTGAAATTCACTCATTTCAGTATTTTTAGTGATACAGCTAAGGCTGGTGTGCCTGGCTGAAAAGGGAGTATTAGAAGCTAAGTCATGTTACTTATAAACTATATACTGCAGAATCCTTCTGTGATAGCTTTTAAAGTTTTAACACCCTGCCTGCTTCCCCCCCCCCCGCCCCCCCTTGGAAAGCACTCTTGAATTCACATGCTGAAAATATTCATTCCTCTACATAAATGCAAGATTTCCATTTCTGGCAACTGATCCAGATTTAGTTTTTTTTCCCCTTGCTCTCTCATAGACTTATAAAGCTGGATAAAACATGCTGTGTGAAATGACGTGAATAGCTTGGCAAATGTATGAAGAATGTCTTCCTCTAAATATAGCCTTGCAATGCTTTTTACATTCGCTTCAGTTTCCTTTGGCTACTTTCCTTGACGACCCTTCCTTCTTCCTTTTCCATTCACAAGCAGAATAAGCCAGTAGCTATGCATAGCTCTTGTGTCATATTTATGATTCTTTAATCCTTTATATATAATCAGGATCTTGTGTTGATTTCTCACTGAATTTTGAATATGTGACTTGATTCAGCAGGTGTCTGATTTAGGCATGAAAAGATAAAGGAGTAATTTGGTTTTTTAACTGAAGAAAACATTATTTATTGTTATTACCTCATATAACTGGACATAGTAGAATACCTTGGGGACATTGTAAAGCATGAACGATGCTTTACAAAATTAGAATTTAGTTCTGCAAACTTTTTTCTTAGGCATAAATGTGCAGACTACTCTCTTATTTTTAATTTATTTGGTGGGAAAGGAATTTTGAAAATAGGATTGTTACAGCTTTTAGGAAGAGGGGAGATGTGTCATCAGGCAATTTAATTTTTTTTTTTTTTTAAATTCTTATTATTTTGGTACTGCATTTAAAATGTTTCTTTTCCCATGGGAAGGTATGACACATCTGACATTCTGAGATAGTCTGAAAAGCTCAGCAGCACAGCCTGGGAAAAAGTGTTTGTGTTTTCCCACAGCACAGTATTTTATTCAATGGTCACTGTTTTCCCTATGTTTTTAGAATTGTTTTCCTGGAAGGTTTTGCCATGTTTTACAGAGGGAGAATAAATCAAGTTAGTGAATATCTTTTAGTCCAACTTTTTGAACACATTGTAAAGGTCTTTTACATTTTTTTGAAGTCTGTCTTTGAGCCGTTGTATAAATGTGAGAGATTCTCTTTCATTTTAAAATTCGTATATTATAAACTGCTGCCAAGTATACCTATAGTTTATTGGTAGATGTCCTTTTTAAAGAGTCCTGAACATTGAAAAACCGACGTATTGAGCTTGATTTTGCCATTGGTGAAGTAGGGTGTAGTCATAGTTGAAATTGATTGATGGTTTTGCATAATCTTTGGTAACCAATTAGAAAATAAAACTATATGTAGACTTTTATGAAGAAACAAAATATGCTGTTTTGCCTAAATTTAAGCCAATTTATTGAACAATTTAAACTCTTTCTTCAGTTGAACATGAACCTGGATTCAGACCAAAGGTGGGCCTATCTGAGGAGAGTGCAGTTCTTTGAAAGGGCAGCAACTCGCATGCTGTCTTGTGAAATGTCTGCTTTCCTGTCTAAATCTCATAATCATTACACATTGCTTTAGATTGGTCCATCTGTGCATTGCTGTTGTAACAGAGAATATGGAAAAAAAAATCATATAATATGTAATGTCCTTGCAGTAGTTTGCATTATGCCTGCCCTCATTTTCTTGAGGTGAGAGGGTAACATTGCCTATGGGATGTAATAGGGAATCCCTACCCAGTGGCTGGGATAAGTAGAAAATTCGCCTTTGGGAAGCGTGAAAACTGGTATTTTCCTTTTCCCAGAATGAAAATTATTCATTGAAATGTACGTTTATTTGCAAGTTTTATGTTTTTCCTTGAAAAGAATGTATTTTCTTCTGAAAACACAGCCCAACATGAGGAAGTGGAGCTGGCATTTCTTGCTAACTGTCTACTCTTGAACTTGCCCAACTCCTCCACGGCCTACTTTAAAAGTTTCTCAGAAGGTTTCTGGATGAACTTAGTAGGTGTACTGTCCACCCCGCTGGGTGATGCCCTCGTGGGGAGTTGGTGAGAGGCAGTGCCCGTCCCTGGTGCTCAGATCTCCCCGATCTCTTCATGGAAGCGGCGTGGAGGGGCTGCGGTGCCCGCTCACCGCCGCTGAGGCTTGGTCTGTGGGCTGGCTGGCTAATGGTCAGCTTCGCTGGAAAGAATTTCTCTTCCTAGATGATGCATTCTTAACTTTTTTTTACTTTTTTTTTTTTATTATTTCTGTCCCTAAAAGTTGTTGGTATTTGATTTTGCTGGTTGATGACAATGTGAAATATAAAGCTTATGACAGTCAGGTTTGTCTACAGCTCAATGAAAAGTCTCCTTTGTGTAACAGGACACTACTTTTTGCTGCGTGGTTGGTTTATAGTATGTGACAGCCTCCTCTTTTGAGTTCTAATTTTTTTATTCTGTTTTTCAAAATGAAATGCATTTTCATTTTGAAAAGGAGTCAACAAGACTGTTCTCCTTCCCACACTGATTTGCCTGATCATCACTGCTAATTATCAGAACTCATCAATTTACTATCATCCACACGCACCTTTCAGAGTCTAAAAACAATTGTAAACATAAATTCAATACTATCGCAATGTAAAAGACTTAAAGAAAAAAAAAGAGAAAAGGCAAAACCTTTATGAGCAAGCAGGTGTGAGACACTGTTGGTAAGTGGGATGGCAAGGGGAGATGATAAAGAACAGCCAATTTCCACGCAGGTCCATGGCGTATGTAGCGAACTGTATTTTTCTTATCACAGTGAAGCTTGTACTGTGAATTGGCCTCACGTTGCACAGATTTGTGCTGACTCTTTGGTCATGGCTAAAAGTGTCTGTGATCATCTTATGCTTTTTCGATGTCTTTGAGATCTGTGACAAGGACAGGATGGTGAACAGAGCATGAGCCTTTCTGTTGGAGACAGAACTATGTGAAAGTGGGTATTTCCACAGAATTGATTTTGTCAATGGCAGAAGCATTGGCATTAGCCAAATGCTTTTTTTTCCCCCTTTGCTCAGAAAGACCTTGGTCTGTCCTCAGGAGCAACTTGAATGACAAGTCTGGCCAGGGAGTTGTAGCTGAAGCCATAAAAGATGATATGTCTTGGGAAATATCAGAGAAGGGTTTGGACAGGCTGGAGTCTACAATGAGAGCTGGATATCTGTTATTTGCTATTATTGTCAAATACACAAAGAGACCTGAATAAGAGATGGCAGTGGTGTAGTGCAAGTTCATTAGCAGCTACGAAGGGGGTGGAAGAGCATCTGAAAAAGCCAGTGGAAAGCAAGGCTGTGATTTGATTTAGCCTCTTCAGTTTTTACTGGGAGTGGAGCCTTGTGGCTATTACCCAGTCGTAAAGAGAGCTTGTGCTGTGCTGACTCATATCACACAGTAAACTCAGACGTCCAGGCTCCCTGGTGATGCCTCTTCCCTGAGCCACGTACCTTGCAGCGATGGGGAGGGAATGTAAGAGCGGAGGGAAGAATTGAATTTCGCGCTGGACATTTTGATATTCAGCATTTTTTTGAAAACAGTAACTTTACATGAAAGCTCAAATAAGAAAGGAATAATGCAAGTAAAATTTTACAGAATGTTTAAAACTGGCCAGTTGTTTTCTTTCAACATTTTTGATTGATACAATACTGTCTTGCAATATTTCATTTGCTTATTACTTAGGACTAACTTGAAAAGTTGTGACCATCTAAAAGTGACAGCCTTTCTTTGTAGGAATAAGGGATAATAACATGAAAATAAGAGACTTCAAGACACAGTGTCAGTAAAACACCACCTTGCATATTTTTTAATCGAGTGTACATATACACTGCCTTTATATCTAACATATTTATATCTGCCTTTCACATATCCTAAACTTTTATCTACCAATAACCTTATTAATTAATATAATAAGTTGAACTCATCTTTATTTTTTTTAGAGTTGATATAACTCTTTCTTTTTGGACACTTGAAATCTACCGTAATTTTCGATGGTGTGACAGAGCTAGCCTTTAACTGTTTTCTGCAGTTTAAGTGCAAAATATTTTCCTCCTGAGACTTTTGAAGGAAGAATGCATGATAAAATCCACACATCTAAAAAATACTAGAGTGCATGAATTGCCTCAGGAACCTTGCCTAAGGGTATAGCCTAATGTATGAATGTTAGTGCATCTTGCTGTGTAGGCAGTTACAAGCTCAAAAGTTCATTTTCTATGTGTGTTTCTAGATTGGCTAGTATTTCCCATTTTAAGCTATGAATGTTGATACATACATTGCCAAATTTAAGTCCTTTGACTGTAGCATAATTGCGTTTCCAAACATCTGTAATGCAGTGTCATGGTTTATCTTGAGAAAAGTAAGTAGATTATTGTCTACTGAGTTGCATTTGGTTTATGCTACTGGAAACAGTTGGTATTTCTGTGGTTTTGAAGTATCAGTAGTGACATTTCTCAACCAATCTGAACTGGAAGAAGTAGTAACCTATTGTTGACAGGACATGAAGTTTTTGTTCTA